TGACCTTATCTAATTTTCGCCTCCACGATCAAATTTCTATCCTGTTAGGAAACTACGATGAGACTGCTGAAAAATGGAGTAAATATGTTACTGATCTCAACATAATACATCAATAATCTTTAATCCAAGGGTGCTGTTCACAACAAAGTTATATAAGAGAATTGACTTCAAGCTTTATTTTTCCCAGATATTTGTATTACATTCATCTGACGTCTGGGTTTTTTGTTAATGCGAAGACAATATTTCTATATCTCTTTATGTGCTACACAAACAGACTTTATAGCAGACTGTTCCGACTGACCCCAATGTCAGAAAGAACAACCAAACTGTAAGTCCATTATACATCAAATTATGTGTAATTTATATAATAACTTATCCATGCCTGTACAATAGGTATGTTCCTGCATAAACAGGAAGGAATATATTATTATTAAAACAATATTTATGCATGCCTATACAATTGGTGTACCCTACATAGCTAGGGAAAAAAATGTACTTTATTATATTATCTTTACTAAATATGCTTATTAATATTATGTGTAAATTATCGAATTGATGATGCCTGTAAACTGGCGTCCCTCATGTAAAAAATGAGAATATATATTATTATTATTATTATATGCTACAATCCTTGAATTTACAACATTTCCTTTTCAGTGACAAGAGATGGATGGAGGTTAGTAAGCTGATGGCAGAACGCCATCTCAAAGAAAACCAAGGTAATTTCTACGAGACCTCAGTCGACTTATGCAGATAAAGAGAGTGAGGGAGAGAGAGAAATAAGGCAACTGGAAAACCTTGATTGTATTTAAGGCACCTATTTTATGCGTAAAATGAAGTCTTTCTGTGCAAAACTAGTAGTGGTTCCTATCATTAGGTGGGGTATTTTCACTGACAGAAGGTATTTGAAGCGGTTTAGGTGGTAGTATTGTAAGATTGTGAGTCGGTTTGACTACTTTGTATGATAGTTTCTGGCTTATATACAGTCTCCTGAAGAAGTGGTTTTATTTCCTTGGCATCTTGTTCCATGCAACTTATGAATGAGTTAGTGGAGCTGCTTCGGTTGAGATGGCTACGGCTTGTGTGTGTGTGTGATGCTTTCCGAGCCATCGCCTACATCGTAGAGTGGTGTCAGTTGGTATAGGATTAGGTTGGGGAAGAGTTAGGAGTGGTGATAGCAAAAGACGTTAGCCATTGGTAAAGAATCTGAGTGTTGGTTTGAGCGATGTAGGGAGGTGTAGACTGTCTGTCTGTCTGTCTGGGGTCGTCGAGATGCATTTCATCACGTTTCGTCGTTGGTGTTGGTGGCACAGGGGGTATCACAACTTTTTTTTATTCCTTTAAGTTCTCAGGGGAACCCATGTTCACCTATTTAGGGGACTTCAAGCTAGGGGCTTGAAGTTTCTGTAGAAGTGGTGTTGCTGACCAGACTCATACCCAACCTTCCCTCTTTAACAGTTTCAATACTGGCTCAGCGAGGTAAAGGAGTGCGTAGGCCGAAGATCGCACCCTGAACCCCACTCGTGTTTGGCAAGCATTCTACCCCTGTGCCACCAACACCAAAGATGAAATATCATTTTCGTCGCTCCTACACATATTATTATATTATTATTGTTCCCTTGGGTTCCTAGTGGAACATAGGGCTTCAACTGCACGTCTCCACTTGCTTCTGTCTTCTGCTGTGCTTTTCACCTGAATCCATGTTAGTCTATGCTGTTTCAACTCCTCTTCACACACACGATCTCCTTCATGTCACCCTTTCAGTGACAAGGAGAAGAAGGATTATTTCTACAGACAACGTCACAAATCGTGATATCAATATCCTGATTGGTGATATGAATGCGAAACTGGGAGGAGAAAATACAGGAAGAGAAGAGGAGCAGATGTGGGTTCAGACCACTATCTAGTGCAAGCGACTTTCAAGATGAAGTTTACAGCCTCGAGAATTTCTGTGGATAGGCCGCAATGCAAGTTCAACACTCAAAAACTGTAGGACACAACCATAAAGGACACTTTCACTGCAATTGTAAAAGCAAAGCAGGAAACACTACGTAACATCACTGAAGAATCATGCATGGAGGACCACTGGAACTCTCTGAAGGTGATTTTTAATCAAACGTGTTCAACGGTTCTAGGAAGGAAGAAGAGACAAGACAAGGAATAGCTCTCAATGGACACATGGAAGCTAATAGAGGAGAGGAGAATGGTGAAAGAGAAAATGATTTAGTGTAAGGACGAACAGGAGAAGGAGACGCTGAGTTCAACTTGCATAGCACTGGACAAAGAAGGGAAGAAGAGTGCTAGGAATGACAAAAGACGATTCTACGATAATCTGGCCAATGAGGCTGAGAAAACAGCAAGCAAAAGGGACCCGAGGACACTATATCAGATAACCAAGTCTCTATCCGGGAAGAGATCAACACAAGCGAAACCTATAAAACACAGCCAATGGAACCCAATCATCAAGGAAGAAAAACAGATTAAACAATGGGCGGATCACTTCAAAGGACTCTCAAACCGACCACCTCCTGCAACCCATCCAGAAATACCAACAACAGCATGTACACAACTACAAGTTGACACCAATCCTCCAACGAGAGCTGAAGTCTTGAATGCAATCAAGCTTCTGAAAGCTGGAAAAGCAGCTGGACTAAATGGAATACCCCCTGAAGCACTGAAAGCGGACCCAGAGATGACAACAGATATGCTGACTCACTCCACTATTGTAAAAGGTCTGGAAGGAAGGATGGAATGTTGCCCACTTACTGGAGGAAAGGTTACCTCGTGAAACTACCAAAGAAGGGCGATTTAGGACACTGCAAGAACTAGCGAGGGATCATGCTCCTGTCGATGCCAAGTAAAATCCTGAGTCGCATCATCATGGAGAGAGAGGAGAGGACCCACTGGATACAGAACTCCGACCAGAACAAGCTGGCTGCATTCAGGAAAGGCGAATCATGTTCTGACCAAATTGCAACTCTACGCATCATCATCACAGAACAAAGCATGGAATGGCCATCAATCAAACCTCTAACTCAACTTCATAGACTTTGAGAAGGCCTTCGACAGACAGCGTTGACCGCGAAGTAATTTGGAAACTACTCGAGTACTACGGCGTATATATAATCAAATATTCATCAACCTCATTCAACAGCTGTACGACAACGGAACATGTCAAGTGATCCACAACGGAAAACTCAGTGAGGCGTTTGGAGTAAACACAGGAGTCAGACAAGGGTGCATATTATCATCTGTGATATTCCTAATTGTGGTGGACTGACTGGATTATGCGTCGGACAGTGAGTGGGAAACGAGAAGACAGGAATATCCTGGACCGACCGACGCGAAGAACCTAGAAGACCTGGATTTTGCGCGTGGATGAATTATGTTTGATGTCACACACACACAAAATCAAAGACTTACAAGCGAAAACCGACCGACAAACTGGTCGAAGAAGCTGTCAGCGAAGACAGGACTCCGGGTGCACATAGACAAGACAAATGTTATGAAAATAACCAACCAGCAACAACAACAACAACAACAACACCAAAATCCAGCGTCAATCACCATCAACGGGAGGGATTTGAAAGAGGTTACTTCATTCACTCACTCATCTAGGGAGCATTGTCTCAACAACAGCCAGTCGGAACGGACGAGGATGTCAAATCGAGAATCGGGGAGAAGGGCGAGAAACACATTCACTAACGTAAAACCAATATGGAAATCTTCGTCACTCAGCATCAACAACAAGATTTAGTCGGATTTTCAATACAAACGTCAAGTCAGTCAGTTCTTCTATACGGATCGGATCAGAAACTTGGCGGGTGGGTCACAAAGAATATTTCCAACAGGCTGTTGCAGACGTTACATTTATCAACAACAGTCTTCGCTCTATTCTGAAGGTCAGATGGCCTCACCGGAAAGAATCACCAACAAGAAACTATGGGGAGGAACAAAATAAGAAGCAATCGCCAACCGACAAATATGCAGGAGAAAGTGGAGATGGATTGGACAATCGCTGAGGAGGCCGCCGATGGATAACATCGCGCGGACATCAGGCCACTGCATCACACACACACACACAAGCCGTAGCCATCTCAACCGAAGCAGCTCCACTAACTCATTCATAAGTTGCATGGAACAAGATGCCAAGGAAATAAAACCACTTCTTCAGGAGACTGTATATAAGCCAGAAACTATCATACAAAGTAGTCAAACCGACTCACAATCTTACAATACTACCACCTAAACCGCTTCAAATACCTTCTGTCAGTGAAAATACCCCACCTAATGATAGGAACCACTACTAGTTTTGCACAGAAAGACTTCATTTTACGCATAAAATAGGTGCCTTAAATACAATCAAGGTTTTCCAGTTGCCTTATTTCTCTCTCTCCCTCACTCTCTTTATCTGCATAAGTCGACTGAGGTCTCGTAGAAATTACCTTGGTTTTCTTTGAGATGGCGTTCTGCCATCAGCTTACTAACCTCCATCCATCTCTTGTCACTGAAAAGGAAATGTTGTAAATTCAAGGATTGTAGCATATCTCAAGGTTCATAGTTTACGCAAATATACAGTTTATCATTTTACGAACTCAATTGTCTCCATGATGACTAAGTTAACTGTGATAGAATACCTAGAGTCTTCACTTTTCGACCCGTTTATTTATGCTCACAGTAAACCGAAATATGGGCTATTCAAAATACGCCATACTATCGTTGTTGTTGTTGTTTTACATATGTGAATAGTCCAGCGATAAATACATGAATCATTCATTCATGCATCCACTCATTCATTATATGACATCATATCCAAGCTCTTCAAAGCATGCATAATACCTACGCTGTCAGATATACTAATTCCATACTGAGTAACCAGTTAGCTTATTATCATCAGGTATCCCAGTTCCCGACGAACGAATATTCGCCATGTTTCCGGAGTGAACAACACTGTGCCAGATGGCTTGTAGCGCATTTCTTCCCTCACCCAAATAGATGGCGCAGACTTTGTGAAACTGGTTCGTCTTCAATAGGAAGCTGCTGAGATTCAGTATGAGTTGTCAAAAACAACTCTACGACTAGCCGAGGAACACTAAGGCACAGGAAAAGACGCCATTCTTTGTGAAATGAATAACTTTGATGTCCATCCACGAAGCGGACAAAGTCTTAGTGGAATACGATTCATTGACTCTACCAGTGGGAAGATGCCATAAAATGTTAGCACATTTTTGAGGACAGTAGCTGGCACACCATCTGGATCAAAGGACTGGATAGATCTTAGAGGTTCAAGACACTTGAGGACATTGTCTGATTTGCGGGATGTAGTGTAAAACATTGATGTGTCTGGGAGAAAAAGATATGCAAAACAAGCGAATAATAATTGGGTGAATCTCATCACTTAGTTATGTGACATAAGTGTGAAGATGTTACGGGAATCTCACGTTCCGTGTAAAGGATTCGTGATACTCGGCCATCCTAGTTTAAAGGTTGACGGATATTAAAGGTTAGACGTGATATCTCGTTCAACAACTTCTAATTAATTTATTCTCGCGTACCAAAGACAAAGCAAAAGCCAATAATTGGTCGTCCAAACGAAGAAATGTATTTGGGAACCAAAACCAGCCGATAGACGAACGCTTAGCTAGCTAGTGATCGTGCACGTGACACGACGAGGTACCAAATGGCGGGGATGCTTGACCGGAAGCCTTCAGCTAAACAAGTCGACTTAAACAGTGGTGGTCAGCATCCAATGCGTGATTGCTGTGGTCAATAATTTTGGGGAATTATTTACCGCTACACTAGCATCATATGGGTCGTGTAAACTAAGTCAGCTACCCCTTTTCAAGTAACAATTCAATTGCTAAAATAGTTAGATTTAATTGCAATCAATTTAGTAGGCACATCGAGAATGAAATTGGGTAAAAATAGTGACGTTCTGCAGATGTGGAAAGCAATTCCAGAGTTTGCTTTCAATGTTGTTATGCGTTCTATAATGTATAGTTTTGATACCCGACTAACTGAATAGATATGAAGTTAACCTTTGAAGATGGAATACTCACTGAGAATATGGGATAGTGAGATATTTTCCGACTAGTAAAAAAGTGATGCCCACGTAATGGATACCGTTTACGGCTTCTCCGTCTGTTGTAATAGTGCAGTCTCTGTAGTTTGTATTCTCTAGTGAATAGCCGTTATTCAATAATACAGTCCAACAAAATATGACTTTACTTTATCTGAACTCAGCATATGAGATTGCTCTGCTGCCCTATTCATAGTGAGCTGGAGTATCTATCAAGTGAGGAAAGCGACTGAAAGTACAGTGGGTAAGCTGAGGTAACATACTTCCGTAGGAAATGTTTGTTTGGTTTTGAAGATGGTTGCGCATTTTACTCGTGTAGTAAGTAAGCTTAATAAAACTTAGCGAAGAAAAGGAGACCTGCTTTGCAATAACAAATTATACCATTTCATTTTGCACCATAAGTTACAATTATTGCTTTCTGTTCCCAGACCTATCTTCTCAAGTGAATCGGGATGTTTCGTGATATGGTGATCGATGTTATGTCTGGAGATAAACAGATAAGCAATGGATTCTCCTTCCTCACATCTATATAATTTTTTCTTTTACAAATATACTTTCACTTTCCGCCTCACCTCACTGTGAGTTCTCACTTAAGTAACGGTCTGAGAAATCAGGGAATACTTTGTTGATGTATGGAAGCGATATTTGTGATTCCAGTTCAACTCCAACATTTCCCAAAATATGGAGTTTGGTTGTGTGACATTTCGAAAACTTTGTATGCATCTCTGGTGGAATTCGAATTCAGAAACTGCATTCTAGCACCTACCCATATCTACATGAAGACGCGTATTTTTAGAGTTGAGAGATCAGACACACTTATGATTCATCGTGTGACCGACAAACTATATTCGGAAAGACTTAAAGGTTTGAATCTCAACGGACTATCATACCGCAGACGGATGATCCATTCAAGATACTCAGTGTTCTTCCTCCAAACCTATCAGTATCAAGAAACTCATATAAAGTTCACTAATAATGGTCGTAGTCACCCCATATAATATACTCATGATCACAGGTCATTTGAGTAAGTTATGTCAGTCCAAATATTCATTCATTTTCAGACCACCAAGCCATTCTAGGCTCAATCAGGAATAATCTGATGCCATGCAGGATATGGAAGTTACACCTCTGCCTCATAATTTCTTAACCAGATATCTTCTTAAGCGGATTCTCTGGAAAGACTGTGAAGTTAAGGCTAAGATGCTAAAGCATTTGCTGTTGCTACATGCAATCATCTCCGAAGGGACAGTTGATGAAAACTAACCCAACATCAGTCTTCAAGTCTAATCAGTGAGAATGTTGTGAATTACTGATAAGAAATTCCGTTAAAGGAAATACTCTGAACAGATAGAAATAAGTGTTTTTCCAGTTCTCGTGATTACTATGTTTTAGATGTATGAAATATCTTTCAAAGTTCACATTGGCTCCTCAACATGACGTCGTCGTTTGCTTAGTGTCATACTTCACAAAAGTTTGACACGACTTATGACGTTTAAAGGGATCGGCGATAAAAACGGTGTCTGGGATTGCACATTCTTCTTATTATGTGGTGATTAGACATTTAAGAAGCACATTAAGGACTACTGAGAATATGTCATTACCATCGAATGAAGAAAATGAAGCACTATCAGAATAGGTAGGCAATCTACACTCCATTCCTTTCACTGGAGAATGCCAGTAACGACACTCAACCTGGCTACTGAAGTTCAATACTGTGGAGACAATTACGAAAAGTAATCTCTTACATACATTTGCTTTGTTGATGAGAGTATGTTTTTCGACTTGTGTGCAAATAGGGTTGTATACGCAGTTTCTAGGGGTTGTGGTAATCGGTTCTACATACAACACAAACAAGGGGAAGTAAATTCAATCATTCACTAACACTCGTATAGGTAGGTATTCATTGTTCCAGTTTGTCTTCATCTATGACTTTGGATGCTGACGTCCAGTTCTATTTGCTTGAAAGAGAAAAGAATTTCGGCACTACGTAGTTTGGATACTCTACGGGTCCCGCCAAATAATAGGAGATACCACCTCCCCGAGCGGAGGCTTTCATCCTGGATTGTGCTACGTCGGAAAGTGCTGCAGTCAGTTAAGCCAACACACCAGCAAAAACACATTATTCTCTGTTCTTTTCACGTCTATCGTGAGTTCTGTAGAAAGTTAGGCTGTTTTATGCGGAATTAAAAGTGTACATATAAATGGGGAATCCCATTGTGAAGAATTACTCATGTTGGTTATTGCAACATCAAAACAGGGAGAGCAATGCATTGGTTATTCTGATTTCTTAGGTTAAATTTATATTTCAGAATCATAATCAGACTGGATATCGGTGTCAGTCGGTATATCCAACAACGTTGGATGAATCGAACACACCTGTGGGCAGAAGCCTTCAGCGGCTATATGTTGACTTTGGGCGATGCTAATAGCAACAGAGTTGGACGTTCCAACAAACAGGTGAAGCAATATCTAAAAAGGTCAGATGGTCTGCACAAGTTATGTTGAAGGTAGAAAACTAGAGTGAACGAATTTCTCCAAGAATAGTCCAGGAGGTCATGATGTCCAAGTCAGTATGCTTTGTTTATGATCTCTCAAAACTTGTAATGCCGAATCTACGATGACTAACACCATATACCTCTCGAAGAGTCACCCTTGATTCTGGAAGAAGACGGTAGATTTCTGTAGAGGCTAAAGCACCTGACCGCGTGTTTTAAAGACAGTGGAAGAGAACAGAGGTTGATCTGAGTGCTTGTGAATGCTTAGGTGGGACGTCCCAAACTTGTTGCCAACCATGTCAACATGTGTTTTAGTTCATTTCAGAAAGCCGTATTTTACAGTTATGTTGCGTTTCTGCTGACTTTTATTATCATATGTAGTTTATCGTGTGGTGCAACAGTGGCGGTTTTAGACGTGGTCACATTCTTCGTATGGATCTCAACTGCGGTCGTGCATAAATCTTGGAAAGAATGGTTTATTAACCCGACGCTTATTCATGCTTACAGGACAGAAATTATGGAAACGTTTGGAGACAGGGATGTGGCAGATTATGCGGGAGAAGTGGTCAGGAATTCTGCGGATTTCTACCGTGTAAAGCAACCACACTTGTACTGGATTAAAATAAACATCTCCTATAATATCCCCGTGTTTCAATCGACATGAACGCGATGGGAGTAAGGCACATCAGACTGGTATTCCAAAAGACATGAACTTGTAAATAAATGTAATTGTGATTCCACACGAAAACTACCGGCTAACCGGGGTGATTACATTTAAGGACTACCTACAAACGAGATTAAATATATGCTTAAAGTCGGTAGCATAGACATAGCTGAATACCTAGGGATCCAAAACCAAGACAAAACTACGCATACGAAATACAAGAAATTAACCAAGCCAATGAGCTAGAGCATGAATCTGTCATCGAATAAGCACAAAGTCATAACCGACTTTGGAATGCCTCTATAACCAGGTACATGAAGGCTTACTTAGAGAAACTAGGCAGTTGGGTTATACTTCCCAGTTTTCGACCGATTTTCAAATGTTGTTGCCGACTCTCTTTCTCGATGTGACATGAGTCAGTTATCTTCGATAGACATCAAGGCGAACTGACGCTGAAATTGGCACTTGTAGAAAAAAGTCCTCCTTACACTTGTGGGACATACCTATTTTCCCATCTGGTACAACTGTCGTTAGCGACGTTTCCACAGGTGTCCATCGCCCTTTTATAATGCAAAGTCATCTGAAAATATTCCCTGTTTCATCCTGGTGTATGTGCTACGGTTTGACTTATCAGCGAGCGTTTTATGTGACTCAGAGAGAGCTCTGACAGCTCGAATGAACTAATGGGTGACTTCTACTTGAAATCATCTAATTTTGTGCAAAAAGCAAGACGTTCAGATATAGTTGTTTTTTAACAGGCGACTTCAGTGCCCAAGTAGGGAAGCTGACCCAGACTGAGAAGTATGTCGGTGGTACGTATGGAGTTCCCTGCCCATGAACCGACAACGGTGATCGTCTTCTACAGTTTTTCTCAGATAATCATCTGTTCCTAGTCAGCACTAACTTTAGGCACAAAGAGACATTGTGTAACCTGGAGACCTCCATTACCAAATCAACGCTGGACTCAGATAGACCACATAGCCACAGGGCACCGTTGGCGAGGGTCAGTAGAAGACTGCCGCTTCTTCTGGAACACGTGTGTAGACTCTGATCACGCTCTGGTTCGCGGACGTTAATGCTTACGACTAAACGGACATAAAAAATTGACGGCAGCGAAACAGTTACGTCCCCAACTAGACCGAGACCCTGAGTCCGTATTTAAGGAAGAAATAGCGAAACGAGTGTCTGGAGTCGACAGCAGGACTTCCCCTGATGTAGTCTGGAAAAAAATACAGTTATCTGTAGACACAGCGGTCAAAGCTGTTAATAAGCTAAAACCAAAAGTTAGTAAGAGCCATCGGATCTTTACCGCCTCATCCGA